CGATTGGTATCACTGGTGCTGTTTAGCACTGCTAGTTGCTGTCTTCCACTGATGCACAGCACTATTGCCTAGTGTGATGGCTACTTTAGCTGACTGACTAGCATGCCACACTGACATCACCAAACATATATCAATCTGAAGACGTTTCGTTTGTCGCAGCCACGTTTTTTATTGATCGTATCGTCGAAGCAACTGCAGCCGCCCCTACCCTCACCGCACTAAATGTGCCCAATCACAATTTGGTGGCAGTGATGCTACTGCTACTGGTGGTGGTGGTGGTGGTGGGAGCACTTGGCGAGGTATAAAAAGCTGGCGCAACACGACTAGACATCACAGAGACTGCTGCTGCCACTGCATCTGCTTCTTCTGCCGTAAGGACTTGAAGCACTGTCTCCTTTTTGCTCTTCTCTTTCGATGATTGATGACGGCGCAACGCTGACTGCAGTGCGCTACTGACTGACTGCCAGTCTGCACCATCATCATCATTACCATCATCTTCACTACTACCACCAGCTGCACTCTAGTGCTGCTCTTCAGTGCGAACGTGTCTGCTATTTCTGCTGCTTCTGCAGCTGTTCTTTCCTCTAACGTTTTTATGGCATTGAAATAATAGTTTACCTGCGAACCTTTTTGAACACCTTTTTCACTGTTACTTTTTTTACTGTCACTCTACATACTACTGNTTCTCGTTGTCTCAGTGTTCGGAAAGCACACTCACTCACTCACTTGTCGGGACCACAAAGCCTTGCACTACATATTGGACAACTGTCACCACTGTTGCCAGCAAAGGCATAGTACAGCCCACCTCTGAGAATGACCATCGAGTCAAATCCAGTGAGTGACATCAGCCCTACGGCGTCCATTCCACCCACTCAACCGATCCACCGCAAAGTGTCGACCAACCAGACCAAGCCGTTTCCCGTTCGAGGTGGGCTCTCTTCTCACCACTTTTGCGCGCCTTTCTTTTGTTTTAATCCCCTTTTCCTCACTTTCAGGCGACCGGACGACCACCTACGTGAACATTCCCCATGTCATTGCCATGGTCGGTCTGCCGGCTCGCGGCAAGACGTACATTGCAAAGAAACTGACGCGCTACATGAACTGGATCGGCATCAAGACGCGCGTCTTCAACGTCGGCGAGTACCGGCGCAATGCCACCAAGGCCTACCGCAACCATGACTTCTTTCGGCCAGACAACAAGGACGCACAGGTCATTCGCAGGTAGGCGGAGAGGCATTCATTTGCATTATAATTTGATGGTCATTTTAATCGAACATCTTTTTCCGCTACCAGCAAATGTGCCCTGGCCGCCCTGAAGGACATGTGCACCTGGCTGGAGGACGGCAACGGCGAGGTGGCGGTGTACGACGCCACCAACACCACCATGGAGCGCAGAGAGCTGATCAACGAGTTTGTAGTGGAGAAGTACGGCTTCAAGGTAAGGCGAGTGAGGATAGACAAATGTACAAAACTAATGTTTTTCTGCTGAAGCTCTTCTTCGTCGAGTCCTACTGCAACGACCCGAAGATCATCGAGGCGAACATCAAGGAGGTGAAGGTGAACAGTCCCGACTACAAGGACATGGACACCGACGAGGCGCTGCAGGACTTCATGGTGCGCATCACCCACTACGAACAGGTGTACGACCAGTTGGATGAGGAGAAGGAGAAGCACCTCTCCTTCATGAAGATCTACAATGCCGGGG